TAATTGATTTTCCGTAACTTCGTTCCGACGAAACTTAAGCGACACAAGTTCTTTACTTAATAAAACTGGTTTATTCTTTCCGAATACAACTTTACGGATACACTTATTCTCAACAGTCGCGTTATAACAAACTATAATAACGAACGAACGTTAACTACAACAATACGTCTCTCTCTGACTGCAGTTCAATTACTCACTATCTATACACACATTACCTTACCTTCCGCGTCACGTTTTCCCCTCTTATATATATACCAGCCTACCCTACTAGTAAATACTAGAGCATTCGCCAAAGCACATGATAATTCTAGAAACGTTGCGTCACTGTAGTCATGTGACTCGATGACGCAACAATAGGTTTAGATGTGTCGAATAGGAAACCATCTTTAAGTCTTAATATTTTGACACTACGTATTGATTGCAATAGTTTTTATTACCTTTTAGTAACAACAGGTCAAAAGTAAAATTTAACTTCGATACAAAAAAGATACCTTTTCTTTTAGTTCTGTTAGTTCCAAGAAACATGAATTCCAGTGCTGTGTAAAATAAATATATATAACGTATTTTATGTAAAATTGGAGTTGTTTAGCTACAGTTTTTCATAGACGACGTTGACCATAAAGTTTATAGTCAAAACTGTTTCATTTCTAGGAAACTGTTATTTAGTTCAGTGCTGAAAAGAAATAACACTTTAATTCAGAATTGCAACATAACATCTTTAGCAATTAGCTGTAAAAAGACATTATAAATCAATGTATTTAATTATATTTCAAAACCTAATGATTTGGGTATCATGCTTTATTTTAAACTGTAACTCGAAATATGTATTAGTGAAATTTTATTGATACTTTTAATCGTCGACACTAAAATATGGAGTAGTTAAAGTTACTTAATAGTCATCTTTAAAAGAACGAATAAACTAATACCTGATCTTTAAAAGAACGAACAAACTAATACCTGATCTATAAAAGAACGAATAAACTAATACCTGATCTTTAAAAGAACGAATAAACTAATACCTAATCTTTAAAAGAACGAACAAACTAATACCTGATCTTTAAAAGAACGAACAAACTAATACCTGATCTTTAAAAGAACGAACAAACTAATACCTGATCTTTAAAAGAACGAACAAACTAACACCTGATTCGTATCTGAAACTTGTTATTTTTTATGTGAATATTATCAAACAGAATGAATCTCATTACCGTCAACCGAATGATTCAGTTCGTTCAGAGTATTGAATTAATTAATGAAAATTACTTATTATCACCTTTCGCAAAACTTATTGGAATTTTCTATTCTTCTCGCGGTTTTATTACGTTCCGGCACTTACCCGGAGTCGTGAAAATTTTCTTCTGTTTACTGAACCAAATAACTCAGGTTAGTTCCTATAAATGGTTTGTGTCTTCAGTGTTTGGTCTTCAGAATTTTCCACTTTATCTCTGAACATTTCATTCTCCCCATGACTCAGTGGCCTTTTGAATCCGATTTTCGAGTCACACAAATGAACTGCATGACCAAATCACTTGAACCCTGGTATTTTAAGGATCTTCGTAGTAAATATATCCATTGCTGTTTCTAGATTGATAATATCATCCTTGGAGATTTCCTGAATAGTCAGGTCAATCCTTCCATCCTCTGAACCTTTATTCAACGCGAATGCGATGTCTTTTCACTTAACAATCCGAACTGTTGCACTACAAAAATGCCTCACACCTATTATCCATAATCTCCTTACAGCAGGTTGCACTACAAAAATGCCTCACACCTATCATCCATAATCTCCTTACAGCAGGTTGCACTACAAAAATGCCTCACACCTATCATCCA